CCTGTTGTGAGATTACTTGGTTACGTTTTTTGTTGCAAGACTTACACTTGCCACCTTCCGGAGCATCTCGTATGTATTGTGATAATCAGGCAGCACTACATATAGCGGCAAACCCAGTCTTTCATGAGAGAACACGACATATTGAGATGGATTGTCATTTTATTCGGGACAAAATACTTGATGGTACTGTTTCTACATCGCATGTGAACTCCTCACAACAACTAGCTGATACCTTTACGAAACCATTGGGCAAGGAGAAGTTTTCAATTATGTTACGCAAGTTGGGTGTTCTTGACATTCACTCTCCAACTTGAGGGGGAGTGTTAGAAAGTAAATACAATTTAGATAGGAAATAAATCTGTAATTGATCCATATCCAATCCTTACCTTAGATGGTATTCCTAGATAGTAGGATTCCTTATTGTACAAGGAATACATGTGTATATATTCCAGTGTTATTAATAAAAGTTTATTCCAGCCAAATATCCTTTTCTACAACTTAGAGAGATGCATATATATAGAAGGCTCCCTCCTAGATCCAAGACACCTAAGCTAATCAGAATCTCAACGCATCAGAGTTATAGTTATAAGGATCGGGTTCTAAGGAGAAGAAGCTTATATACCTCTGCGCAATTCAATCTGCTCCAGCACCATGTCAAACTCAGGTTAGTGTTCAACATGTTATAGCTAACAAAGATTTACATATATCGTATCGCCATTCGATATATAGAAAAGTTTCATCCAACGAACAGAAGCACACAATTTTAGGGTTGAGTAAAATTGGAGGCCGTGCGTTGCGACGGCGGCCAAGTGTGAAGAAGCCGGAAAGCCGAGGCTAGGTATGGAGAAGCAGAAGGATCACCCTGGTCCGTCATATAAGCCGAAGAAAGTCCTTTATTTATGTTTCGGCGAGTATTTTCGGAGCACTCGGGTTGATTACTCTATTCGCGCCTTTGATTTGGAGAAAAAATGCAATATACTTCCATTGGCAGAATCCAGTGAAGTGGCTAAAACAAGGAGGCGTGTTCCCGTAATTAT